ATGAAATGGAAAACTTGATGGAAAATAGGAGAGAGCTTTGCCATGACCAGAGAGTCTCCCATCCTCTTCCCAACCAAGCCATCCTCCAAACTGTTGACAATAAAAAATAGCAGACATGAGCCAAACAGAGAGGTATCCATTTACTGGGAAGCACTTGGGAGGAAATCTGCAAGGAACATCAAGTTTCAATGGGATTACACTGAGAAGCTGATCAGTCATTTCAAATGCATTTGCCATACTCACTCATTTGAACCCAGTGCATTCACAGGCAGAAGGTATTCTCTTGCTAAGCAGAGTATCAAAACTAATGGGGCTAGGATAATTTGAGAATGCTAGCAGCATGAAGATTCCATGATGCGTTTCTGGAGGGAAACTTGAAAATCTCCTGCAAATGGTACAAGCTATTACTTTCAGTGAAATGGCACAATGTACTGAAGCTAGCTTGCTTTTTTTTAGGACAGAATCCCATGGCTTTGCCACTTGCATGATATGCTAATGAGGTAAGAGAATGCTTGATTCACAGCATAAGGACTGGTAATCAATGTACTGTTATTTATTTATATTTCTGTTGAGACAGGTTATGGCAACCCTGTGGTGTTTTCAAGGCAAGAAACATTCAGAGGTGGTTTGCTATTGCCTGCCTCTGCATTGTGACCCTGGACTCCCTTGGTGGTCTCCCATCCAAATACTAACCAGGGCCAACCCTGCTTAGCTTCCAAGATCCAACAAGATCAAGCTAGCCTGGGCTATCCAGGACAGGGCTCTGTGAATTCTAGGACTGTACAAACAAGCAACAAAAAGTGATAGTGAGCATGGAATGCAACATTCTAAGAATCTAATTTTTTTTTTAATCAAATCATCAAAAGCTAGTTTCTCATCCCTCAGGCTGAATTCCAAAGGCTTGAAATTTATGTAGGCAATTTGTGAGGAAATGCTATTCGTGGCGGGATAGGGGCTACAGCTGAGCAAGATTTCTAGTAGTCCAGTGTCATATTTTCAGTACCTTGCATTGTCCCTTCCTATGCCTAGCAGAAATAAAACTTATGCAGATTTTACATCAAATAACGGCTTCAATACAGATTCAGAAGAAAAACAGGTCAACTCAGATTGAAGATAGGACATAGGAGGATTTAATTCTATTTGCTATGTAAAAAAAAATATCTGCCTGCAGAAAGCCTAAGGGGGAAAAACCCTAGTCCAGCCTCCTTTTCATTCTAGGTTTCTGTGCCCAAGAACTGTTTGCTTTGACAAGTGTTCAGAGATATAACCTCTGCTCCAGAATGGTATAGTTTAAAGCCAGTCCACTCACTTGCAAGCGTGTGACAAAAAGTAATTCTATTAAATTGGATAATGACAATGTCTTCTCTTTGTAGGGAGCATGCCTCTGGGCAAAACACAGTTTTAGCCTGCTCAGCTCTAAAAAAAATGTACAGGTGCATTTTAGAAAATGGAGAGACTGGTATAAATGTCCAGAATTCAAGTGGCCAGCCAGAAGAACAAGAGGAACCTGCATCACGAAAGATCCTTTTCATCCACTTAGATGGACCAATGGACCTTATTGCTCAGCGTTTGGCGAAAAGGAGGGGTCATTTTATGCCACCTGAGCTACTACAGTCTCAGTTTGATGCTCTTGAAGCTCCGTCGGCACCTGAACATTTCATCACTGTCAGTCTGGAAAAACCTGTTTCAGAAATAGTATCTATAATTGAAGAATATGTTAGAAACAGGTATGGATAATTCTTCCAGACTGGTTCTTGGTTTACAAGACAAACTCAAACAAGAGTTTGTTGCCTTTTACTAAACATAATCATGAATTAACTTTATTGTACTTATGAGATGAGGACAGTGTTGCTTAAGTACAAGGCATTTTTCACTTTCTGCTTTTACATACATTGGATTTAGGTGAGAGTTGTTAAAGCATGTATTATTGCCCTAATATTCCAGTGATTTATCTTAGAAAAATGCAAACTGAAACATTTGGAAAATACAATTAAAGTTGGAAGTACACGTTACAAAGTTTATATGGAGTGAACCCTTCTAATGGAGCAGTCCTATCTTTCAGTTACATCCGGACAGTAGACTTAGGGTTGCTCCTAACTAGGGTTGCCTCCCATCCCCCAGACTACTAGAGTACAGCAGCACTATGGTAGCATGAAAAAATATGTACAAGTGTGGTGGCTAAGAGGAGGGACTCCTTTCCTCCAGCTGGGGGGAAATGGGGAGGAGAAGGCTGGATGTCTCCAAAACCAGAGGAGGGGGAAATTGAGTCTCAATACATTGCCACTATCTGTGAGCCTTTTAAGCGTGCACAATTTGGTGCTGGGGTTCATTTTTCTTGCTTGTAATATGGCTTAATGTAGTAACTTTTTTGATTTGCATTGGTTCAAAAGCCTCTTTAACTGCCAGACTGACTGCATCAACAATTATAGACTGAAGATCCTCCCAGGACAACTGCAGCAAGTTGATTTCTGTGGAGCTATCTAAACATACATCATCTGGCATTTTTTCCTGTGTGTCCTGATCATCCATTTTAATGTGATAGCAAAAGTCCCTGTTCAGCCCAGCAAAACCTAAAGTCTCTGCAAAATGTTTGTCAGTAGTCTCTTCAAGGCTGACTGCATGCACCAGATAATGGCTCTCATAGACATATTAACAACCAAGAATCTTTCAACACAAACCAGGTGCTTTGCAGCTTTATAATGGAGTCTAGACACAATGAGCTTTTCTGTTCTCAACAATGGAGCATGATGTCATAAGGAATTGTTACAAAATAAAGAATTCAACTCTGAATGTCTCTCTCTCTTTTTTCAAAAAAGATTCATAATCCTTTTGTAGAAGCTCAAACAACATTCCCTCTTTCCCCCAAGAAGTGTTTAGCTCAGCTTAGATTTTGTGACTCATCCTAGCCGCTTCGAAGGAAGGAGGGGGGAAGCCCCTCCTTTCCTTGTCCTTTTAGAAATTTAAAGGGGCTTAACCAAAAGATCATCAGGTTCTTCCGTGTTGCTTTTGCAGGTACTTACAATACAGATCTTTATTAGTGTTATGGATTAGGCTCAAAGTAACTCTTGATTTTGGGGCATTTACAGCTGGTGCAGTCATGGCTGCCATAACTGTGCTGCTTTGTTCCTTGCTTCTGGGATGATTCAGGGCTTCCACCTGCTTGCTGTCATGAGCGGGGCCCTCGAATCAAGTTCCTTGCACCAGACCTCCCTTCAGGAGGTTCAGTGGAGTTCGGGATCCCCCAAAAACTCCCCTAAAAAGAACGAAGAGGTGGCGGTACCCAGGAGCGATTCCTGGTGTCGACCATGTCGCTGCTCCGCAGCCCCACCCTCCCAACCCATATGCCGTCTCAAGGGTACCTTTGCTGAGCAGTTTCAGAGCATGTACAGAAAAAAAAAAGTAGACAAACTAATTTTCAGATTTAAAAAAGAAATGAGTATTCAGGTGTTAAAAGGAATTGAAACTGTATTTTGGAATTGGGGACGAAGTAATGCTTACACAAATCTTACTCAAATGCAAACTCAAAAGTAAGATTAAGCATTCACCTAGCCAGGTACATCCCTAACTCTATCCCGGTTCTCCAGAATTTCCCTCCAGAGTCCTCTTCTTGGATCAAGGAATCAGCCCATGATTGAACTGACCTGTCCATCAGAAATCAAACAACAAAAGGATGCTCTTAGCTTATTTATACCTTTTTCAAACCTTAACACCAGGTTATAGCACCGGCGTACTTTGCCAGTGTTTAAGTCCCTATTAGTGCAAGTTTCCTGCTCTGAAACCCTTCCCATCTTTAGGGTGGAGGCTTTTATAAATAACCCTTACCTCAAGAGAACAAAACATCCAGCTTTTTATACTGTCTCACTTTTGAACATCAGCCATGTATGATTATAGAGATGACTGGAAGCAGGTTTTCTGGACTGCACCGTGATGTCAACTACTTAACTTGGAGGCCCTATCTTTCTGAAGTCACCCATTCAATCTCTAAGCTATCAGCTGGAGTTCGGGGGGGGGGATCGATTCTTGTACAAGGAGAACCCATCTGCTTGGCAATCGCCACAGTAGATATACTGAAACCTTCAGTAGTTCGGAGTCCCAAAAAATTTCTGTGTCAGAAGGGAGTTATGAAAATCACCTCTGCTGCCTCTTTTGATACCTTGTTCATGCCTCTGCTGATCAGTGTTGTTGGAAGGAAGGTGTACAGCAGACCAGTGGGTTAACAGCAAGTGTGTGCATCCTCTCCCTCTGGTGACTTGATTTTTGTTCGACGTTGAAATAAGATCCAAGATAGGGATCCCAAAACTAAGTGTGATTTTGCTGGTAGATTTTTGTTTAGACTCCATTCTCTTAAATCTAAATCCTTCTTGCTCAACAAGTTGGCTAGGAGGTTTGTAAGACCTTATAGGTGTTCCACTTTCAGAACTACCAAAATGTACCCTGCCTAATCGAACAGGATTTTGGACTTCCAGAGGAGCACCATCGATCTGGTGCTTCCTTGCCAATTGATGTGCACCTTGGCCATAGTATTGAATGTGTACACTAGCACATACTTGTTCTGTGATAGGTTCTGGAAGGCAATCAGTGTTAGTCTGATTATCCCAAGTTCTAGCCCCTAAATTGACTATGTCCCTGGAGGATCTAAGATGACTATTTTTTTTACACTGATCAGGTAGCTGTGTGCCTGAAGAGATTGCATAGTGGACTTGGTGTCCTTGCTTGCCTCATCTGCCTCCTTGGCTCTGTGGAGGATATCGTCCAGGTCATAGGTAGGCTATTAGAACTACCAGGACATTAGTAGACACCCTCAGAGATTATGCCAGCCCAGAGTAAGGTCTTGTATTGGAAATGCTGGCCGTAAACATCAAAAAGGGAAGAATTACCTAAAAGATGGGTGAATTGGAATATGCAGGTAAGCATTTTGAGGTTCTAAGGAGGAAATGTAATCATCCTGCTGAATACTCTGCAGAACACAGCAAAGTGATTCCATCTGGAACTTGCACTTCTTTATCACAAGTGCAACTCTTTTTTATTTAGAATTGCTCTCCAGTCTCCGGATCTTTTTGGAACTACAAATAGGATGGAATATTTCCCATAGAAAAGCTGTTCTAAGGGCACTGGTTCCACTGTCCCTATGTGCACTAAATGTTGGATAGGTCACAACAGGACAGGCGTTTCTGTTCTCTCTTGGAAAGTGGGGATGTACAGAATCGATGCGGTGGAGGGGATTCTATCCTGTGTCCCTTCTGGATGATGGAGAGTACCCACTGGTTGGTCATAGACTCAATCCAGATGTGAGGAACCTGCTGGAGTCAACCCCCAACCATACAATCAGGTGGTTCTTTGTTTTGTTGGTTCCTATACTGTTTGTTAGGTCTAGATTTCGCAGAGGCCATTCCCTCCTATAGCTGAAAGGTGAAGGAGCTCCTAAAATCTCTTGGCTCCCCTTTTTTAAAGTGGATAAATCTGAATTAGACAGAGGGTCCACCTTCCAATGCTTTAGCCATAGTATCCTACTAGCCACTATATTAGTGGCCTGAGCTCAGGCACAGAACTGCATGGCCTTTTGGGATGCATCTGCTGCAAAATTTGCAGCCCTGTTAATCTTTAGGATAGATCTCTTAAGCATCAACGGTCAGTGTCTGGCTCCTGAAGGAGCTTATCAGCTCAAACCATGATGGCCCTGGCAAAATCTGAGAGCACAGCAGGGGCTCAGATTGTCAGAGAGGCTGCTGCAGGGGATTCCCCAGGGTCGTCTCATTATTATTACTATTATCACCCACTGAATGCTTAAACATGTTGTCCCCACCCTTAGACAAAACTGCTCCTGAAAGTAAGACTATGGCTGGAGCATCCAGCAGAGGAACCTGAGGTCTCCCATGTTGCCTGCTGGAAGGGCAAAGACCATTTTAAAAAATGCCTCTAATAATGTGCCATTGTCTGGAACTGCCCGTACTGCCTTTAGCATGTAATCAAAGAATGCAGGGAATTGGCTTCAACCAATTTAGGTACTAGAGTCTGACAATGATCCAGGTTTTGTATTCAACTGTTAGTTAAGAGAAGGGGGAAAAAACACCTTTTTTAATCTCTGGAAATGTTTCGGCTGGAAAGCAGAGCCTGAACATCAGGTCATGCAAGGACTCTACCATTCTGTCTTTAGCACTAAGAAAAGTTTGGGCAAAGTGTCCCACCAACAGATAACCAACGATAAAAGAAATCAAGGGCAACAATTTCTTTTTCCCCTGGAACCTTGCCTTAGTACTCACCCCAGTCCCACTGTTGCAACTGGAGTACAAGGAACTACACACAAGCAATCCTCGAAAGGCCTCAAAGGAAGATTCCTTATACCTCCTTCATTCCCCCCAATACATTCCAACATATGCAGTCAAACATCCTCGATCACAGTTCCTCTTCTGTTCCCACTTTGTGGTATGGGAAAATTATTCTTCTGTAAATTTCAAAAGCAGTGTGCCCACACATAGTAAACATTCAGTGTGTAGAAAAAGGGCTCCAATGACCATCCCAAAATGCAGAGTCTCTACCACAGACCAGTGAAGGCAATCAGGATCACAGCCATTGTTATTGGTGAACAGCAGCCACTGTACAGCACCCATTGCCATGAATGGCCAAGCCATTGATATCTCAGCTTTTCCTGAAAGGTAATGCCTGTCCCCTGCGATCCAGTGATGGGGGGGCGGACTTCACCTTTCAAGCTGCAGAAATAATGTTGGCCACCACACTCCTGCCAGAAATGGTGCTATTTAGTGAAAGCTGTGGGTAACTGGAAAAACACACTCTCTTGTTACTTACCTAGGTATATAAATAGGATGCAAGCACACTGGAAGAGGACCAGTGGGTCAACCATCAGAACTGGCCATCTGCCTCTTATACATGGCCTTATACTTGGAGTAGCAGCAAGGAAGCTGAGTCGCTGCATCTGAACAGCCACCTGATTTCCCAGTTATTGCTATGATAAACACAGCTGTTTAGGCATATGAGGCTGGAACCCATGGCAAAGCTTGGAATGGATTTTCCCCCACTCCCCAGCAGCCTGCTTCTTGTCCTAAAAAGGGCAAATGGAGAAAGATCTACTTCACCTACCCCATTCACAAGCTTTTGCAAAGGCTCCCAGCCATGAAGTAGACAGTTTATAACAGTGTTTGCCTTGGTTCACTAAGTATAAACTAGTATAAAATAAACCTGTACTCTACTGAGCTTCACATCCCCATAAAAACAAGGTTGCACTTACCTGTAACTGTTGCTCATCGAGTGCTCGTCTGTGCAGGCTTCTGGCCTGTATGATGAAATCCATTATAGTAGGAATAGGAAGCAGGATAGGAACAAGATGGCTCCGGAGGACTAAAAAGGCCACATAAGCCTGTCCTCTCTGTCCCTACAGCTGGGTAGCCAAGGTGATCTGTAGCAGAGGACCTAGAGTCTACACTGCCATATCTCCATTTAAAGATCATCAGATGCCTCCAACAGGATTTGCCTTGTGGAGCCCATGTCTTATTACAGATTGTTCTTCCCTTTTCCACAAAGCTAAAGCAAAGCTTACAGAAGTCCAAGCTTGTTTGTGTAGCTTGTTTTTCACTCTGCATTTGTACTCCACAGGGAAATGTTTCTTTCCTTCAGCAGTACAAGCCACAATGCTTAAAATTACAAGAATTTATTTCTCAGAGTATTATTCTCATAATGGAACTCATCCACTTCAGCTGAGAAGCCACTAAATTCTCCATGCAG